CGCATATTTGTACGTCTTGAAGAGATGCTTCGTCTTCAGCTTTCTCATTTTGAGGATAAGAGTGTTCCATGTTCAAACCTAAGAATTTGGAATACTATGTTTTTTTTTTTAAAAAAACGTTTGAATGATAATGTTTACTAGCATAATCATCCACTACTTTATATAAAGAAAATCATGATCAAAAAAATTCCACTACTTTATATTTATTATCTTTAAAAAATCCATTTTTATTTTTTATAATATAAGAGTATATTTAATTTACCTAGTAATAATAATATTGTTAGAAATTTCAACACGGTATTTTGGGAATATTAGACCAAACATATAAATGAGTGCCATGTGGCCACTATCTGTACATAGATGCATAAATAACGATCATATACCTTAAAATTAATTGTGTTATCAATTAATTAACATAGATCCGTACAATTATATGCTTTAAGTCGCAAATCATTTGGATATTTAAGCAAATATGATGATTATTGGCCTTCATCTCCCTTATTTTAAGTTGAATTTGATGGAATCATTAAGCTGGCCTAAGTTTGTTCAGTTATTAATTTCCGATTTAACACTAATTAACATATTGTGCTACAAGCAATACTAATTTTTTGTGAACAATTGTACGGATATCTCTTAAAGATAAGAATAATTAAGAAGTTACAATGTGCAATGAAAATTCTTAAGATAAAAAGCTACAATCGTAATGATATATACGGGCCATAATTAGATCATAGTTTATGAGTCATGCATATAGGTTCCGATAACTCTCCAACTAAGTTAGTCATCCACAAATTTTAATTAGAATAAGGCTTGTTCACTTCACCTTATCTTTTGCGGAACTGAAATTAATTTTAATGAAATGAAATTATTTTTGCTTAAATTGTAATTAATATTATGGATACGAAATGGTATAGTTGTCTCCGAGAATGATATATGAAACTGATAAACAGGCTTGGGCCACACCCGTCATGATTGTCCACTTTATACGACCAAGGAGGTTCCACCTCGAAATCATATGACAATAGAAGGAGTAACCCCTTAGCCTTCTTATAAAGTGATTAACTCTCTCTTCTTCAACCAATGTTTGACACTTACATACATGTGGTGATACTTAGGAGATCTATTTTTCAACAGAAACCTAATATCGATTAATAAAAATCTAATAAATAGAAGAAAGAGGATGTGCTCCGTCAAAGAGACAAAGAGTACAAGGAAGATTGTCAAGCTTAATTATTAGGTTTAAACAAATCGTGCAGGCTAACATTAATTAGGTTAAGCAAATTTTAAAATAAGAAACAATTGCTACTTGATGAAATCATAGAGATTCTCCATGAAATGAAAATGTTTGACAAGTTTATTTGAGCTGTCCAATAACAGTTGACCCATAAAGTGTGGATTAGGATTAACTAGCGAAGACCTAATTAGAGCTACGAGTCCAAGTCTAAAGATAGATCTCTATCCTCGTCTTCCATTAAACAAAAACAATTCCTTTTCTTTTGTGTGCACATTAATGTTGGGGCCGTAGTTTTTTATTTAAAATGTTATACATAATCCTTATAAAAAGCTAAAAATGAAGAGGTAAAAAACAAATGAAAATATAAGCGTGATTTTATTTGTCATGCATTTTTAATATAATACTAAATTATGAATGAAATTAAATGCTTATTTTTAACATTAAGGATTACGTATAGCATTACCATTATTAGTTTAGCAAGTTGTTGCTTTGTTGTAGGAAATAAGACTAACTGGTATGGAATTTAGAACAAATTTATTATTGTCTTGGTGTGATAAAGTATCCCTAAGCCAAGGAGAATATGTATTTGAATTTCTAGAAAGTATTTGTGTGTCTCTCTAAAGAAAAGCTTAGGCATAGAAAAAAAAATCAAGATCAAGAGCATAAGGTAATCAAGGCAATATTTAATATAATTAGGGTGTAACGGTCATTTAAAGAGAGTTAAGAATCTAAGAAGATTATGTTACAGTATACTATATACTTCCTTAGTTTCATATTAAATGACACATTTTATTTAGGGACGTTTGTCAATACATACTTTCTAATGCAAATATCCTTAGTTGATTACATATTAGCAAAAAAAAAAAAAAAAAAAAAAAAAAAATTGATATTTAAAAATTACATGTTGTAACGAATCTAACAAGACCCCACATGACTATATTTTTTCTCAACACGAAATCACAAAATGAAGTCAAAACAAGTTATGTGAATAGTGCACAAAGTCAAACCGTGTCATCTAATTTGAAATGAAAAAAGTAATATTTAACGATTAAAAAATAATTAAGCTTGTCAAAAAAAATAAATAAAAAATAATAATTAAGCAGAAGATACTAACTGACATTCTACAGTCACTCAATTGAGTGCGTCTAAAAGATAATTCAAGGGTAGTAATACACGTTCATCCACTCCTAGGAATACGCCATGGTACATGTTAAATAACTAACTCAACCAAAAGGTTAGTACCTCATCACACTTCTCTGTATCCAACGCTATACATTTCACTCTAAAAACTTGGGATGGATGAGATTTAAACTTGTAGCCTTCTTATTACATTAGCTCTTAATACCATGTCAAATAATCAATCCAACCAAAATTTAACTGATTCTTAAAGTTAATGGTTGATTTTTATACTCTACCACCACACGCCTTCACATGAGGTGACGAGGGTGCCTGTGGTAAATGGAGCCTTCCCTAAAAGTTTAGTAGAAGGTTGGCAATTAATAACCTTTATTATCACACCATTAGTTTAAGAATTATGATATCCTTTCGACATTATGGAGATAATTAATGTACTTATTAATTTAGGAGATATGAATTAATCATGATTTACATCTAGAATACTTAATTAGATAATACTATCTAATTGTGCAAAAGTTAATTAATGGCTATACTAGGATAAACAATTCTACTATGGATTTGCAAAAGGTATATGGCTACCTAGTCCCTAGAGTGGACCTAGCATATTCATGTTTATGGTTTTCCACCTAGATTTTTCAGACTGAATTATGAGTTGCTTGTCTATATTGTTATAAAATCAATTTATGTTATATGATTTTTAATCCTTCCAAAGAGTGTCATTTTCTTCAGGGGGATAACAAGCCATATTCTAGTGATTTTTTTCTTAATGTGGTGATTATTAAGAAGAAACCCTTTTGTATTTTGTACCGAAAGCTCTTTCGTGTTAATTTAGTTTTTAAGCTAAGCCCTTTAGAATTGGGAGGAAAATAAGAAAGTTCCTAAACACTTAACCCAAAGAACATTAGGTGAAACCTCTTTTAAAACTCATTTGTTATTCACATGTGAGTTGTTCTACATTGAAGAAAGGGGAAGGGGGAGGGGGAGGGGGAAATTAGAGATTGTCCCACTTTATATCCTATATAACCATAGGATTGTTAATATCACCCCCATCTCTAACGTGAATGAGCTGGGCCCAAAAAATTAATGCTAAAATATAATTACCGTCAAATCACGTCGTTAACGTTAAGTGAACATCCTTCTCATTCTTCTCATTTTTAGAAACTTCCCATTGAATCATTAATATGAGAACTTCTCTTCACCGTTGAATCTGAAAATTTGATGGATGTGATTAATAGGTGTAAGTAATAGCAATTTCGTAATTAATATAATCTTCCTTTTTATTCCTCCATATCAATCTATGCTATTTTCTCTCTCCTACAAGCTTTTTACGTTGATTCCTTTTTATTACTCTATATCTATCTTATCCTTCTCATTGTTCTTGTATGGGATAGCTCCTGCTGAACTATCATCACGCTCCCGACCTTACTCACGGGGTGCGCACTCATCGCTGGAAAGATATACGTAGGGGCTCACCAGCCTGTTAGAGTCGGCTCACAGGCTGACCAGTACAATTACCAGATCATATCAAAGTGAATAACCAGATAAATTATTGTTAATTATACAACGAAATTCAGTCAATTTATTGCAATTTCGTCAAAAATTATTACGTTGAAGGAAATTTGAGATGATAAATCAATAAGTAGTTCTTTGATTTTGGTTTTGAGCTTGATTTGTTTGTTTCGCGTTTAATTTATTTGAAATAACAATACTCTAGCAAAATTTGAAAGTAATCAGACTTTGAAGATACACTGTAGAAACCTTGGCATAAATTGGGGCAAATCAAAATTGCAATATTAAACTACCATATGAGAATGAATAGAAGATGTACAAGTTAAAATTAAGTACAATTAAAATGCTCAAATTGAAGCTCTCAAGCGTTCATCAATGGCGTCGAGGAGAGAGACAATAGGAATGAGGAGAGAGAAAATTTTGCCCAAAACGCAATAAGCGTGCAAGGAGTATTCTATTTTTATTTTCTTAAATTCATTAAAAAAAAACAGACGGCTATGATTTGATAAATCAACGGATAGGATTTGAGTTCTCACAATAAGTTCTTACCATAGGAGATTAGGAGTGGTCCTCACAAGAACCCATATATGCCACGTCATCATTACTAAGCAATGTGTCGCCATGTCATACGATTATTATTATTCATTAAACAAAAATTAATAATTGTTAGCATCAATGTTTGAACCCATGATCTCCGGTTAAGAAACTTCTTATTATACTTTTACACATTTCATCATTCTCATTCTTATCATTTTAAGAAATTTCTCATTATACTTACAATAATATAATAATTTCTCGAAAAGGAATACTTTGTAATTAAAAAAAATACAGTGATCAGAAAAGTACTCTCTCTAGTGTCTATATGAGTAAATGGGTCACTTTCTAGATTTAGTAATTAAAATTATTTTAAAGCTTTAATACTGTAAATTCAATTAAAAAGTACATTATTATGGTAGAAATGTGTCCCTCAACAAAATATTATGGCCTGTTGATATTACATTTGAGCAAAGTCAAGAGCATAACATTCAATATGATAATAAGTCTTAACAGAAGGATTGATTTAAACAAGCACTTAGTTAAGCAGATGGTAAATTACTTCACCGCTATGGAACGTACCATGTAGAACAGTAGAAATTACACTAGATATAAAGAATATAATCTCGAACAATCAAATTTCCTTTATGATTATCCCAATATAGCAGTGGAAAGATAGAAAATAAGCCAAAGTTTTATGGACCTAGCAGACTATGACAGTGAACTGTAGGATTTACAAACAGCTATAGGAAAATCGTTGTCTGATTAACAACCTAGCAAGCTAGCAGCAGATGTACAGTTGAGAGCAAAAATTTTATGGCATTGACCGTCTATGAAGGAAAGCCTATGCCACCACCCCGGTGAATGGATGTCGAGCAAGGGCTAGAGTGAGGTTATAGAGACTTATGAGCAATGTCATATACAGATATGAGAATTTCAGCACCAATCAATATGATGATGAGCCATTCAAGGAAATCTGACTTCCTGTTCTGCAAAATTTCCTGTAGGAATCTAATATTATGCTGTTCAAGAAAACAAATATGAAGTAATTAGTAAATAATAGCAACAGTAGTCATAAATTGCCGCCAAAAACATCGACGTATGAATTTGAAGATACAGAGGGAAACTATCTTACCTCCACAAACTTCAATTTGAAATCAAGACTGGCAAATCTCTGCGTCAACTCAAATTCATCCCGAAGATATTCCCAGATTTGAGCATATTTGGCATCTTTCCAAGCAATATCTGATCTGCAAGGCAAGAAGACAATCAGTACTTCAAAACACAGAAACAAAGAAGTAAACAAAAAACAGAAATACAGAGCTGGATATTTCAGGAACGAATTCCCTTTCAGCAGGTTGCCATTCAGTCCCAAATTGTATTAATAAACGCTATGTATGCACAGAGGCTAAAATCTAAAAGTATTTCCAGAAATGCAAAAGGCCGTCAATTGCTAAACCAAAAACAGGAAACCACATTAAGAAACTGAACATGTATCGTGTTGAGGAACAGCTAGGATATCAAGTAAGTTTCAAGTGACTTTGAACTCAACGTTTTGCAAAGTTTCCACACAGCACAGCTGTCCCAATAGTTAAAATTCTTACAAATATCCCAATAGTGTATTTGGGACTTAGAGCAAATACCATTCTTCAAATACACAGAAGGTTGGAGTTTCAGTTCCTAAATCACTTGTACAAATACATCTTCTAACCATTAGGAATGACAATCATGAAGACATGGACAATTAACCGGGATGGTTGATTCCATCTAAAAAATATTTGTAATAACTTAATTTCTCAGAAGTCAGAACATATAAACCAGTGAATGCAAAATCTAGATACTTATAGTTAAAAGGGTGAAAGGAGAGACTGAAATAACAGAAGCAACATCCTGATGAGCTATATGCCAATCATATAATCTGCTCCTCTCTCTTTTCTTCATCGTTTATTTGCAACTCAATTCAGAATAAATGCAGATTTTGTACTGTAATTGTTCGGAGTACAACAGTTTGGCATCAATAATCAAGATGGTGAAACCCCTACTATTACCATCTTTAATACTCTCTCCAGATTTAAGTCTCTCCTTATGGAGGTTTATTCTCTTCTTATCTTCAAACACAATTCTGGGTAGGTAGATGGACAGGAAGAAAGGAGAGTGGGAGAGGGCAGTACTGCAATGGAGACAAATAGTTTGGAAACGTAGTGTTCAGGATTAGATTAGAAAATAATAATTAAAAAAAAAAAGTCAAATAGTTTAAAACCTTTTGTTCAGAAATAGAACAATACCCACTTATGCTTCTTCCTTCACTGAAGTAGCTTAAACAGTTCTACCAAATTCAACAAGGATTTGGCATACACACTTGTCTGTCCATTTAAGGGAATAGCAGCACAATCAGCCATTCAGATATTATACAAATTCCACAACTAGAAATCAGAAAAACTAGAAAAATAGAGGTCAAGCTCAAGCTTAAGTGGTATGCAAGGAATTAACTCCCATCAAAGAAGCCTCACTTGAGCCCAGAGCCAATAATAACTGCTGTCCGTTTAAATGCTTTCAGCATTTCATTTGCAAATGTATGAACAAAACTAATTGTCGAGACATTTTTCAATTAACATCAGAAGTCCCTCTATAACTTCTGGTCCAGACTTATTCTACAACTTCTGTTTCATTTAATATACTTCGTACTACATAATAATTAAAGATGACTTTCATCTAACAAAAAACACATTTAAAATGCATCCTAGAAATCGAAATTGAGCCAGCAGCCATTAGACCAGCATAAATCATGTTCAATTATTAGTTGAAAGGAGACATGCAATACGCCAATACTGCATACTCCTAAAAACATTCTTGAAGCCCTTTATTATTAAAATCAAGACCGCGTCCCCATACTTACCATTATAATATTCTAATTGATCTCAAAATTATGTAGCTAAAAATTCATTCATAGCATCATCTATATTCTATATGCATATACAAGTGATAAGACAATAGTATTGATTTGATGCACATCTCCAGAGAAGTCACACATGCGACCAGCTACAATTCACCATACTCACAAGTCATACTACCAAATGTTCCATTTAGCTGCTCATTCTATCAGCATACATTCCATCAAATGAATCAACAGTCAAGTCAGAAAGAAAATAATCACACACGGAATATGAAAACTGTGGCTTAACGCATGAAAATCACCTTTCAAAAAGACCAAGCTTAAGAATCACATCTGCTAGATTAGAGTTTGCTTTCCCAACTAACTGAAAGAGCTTCTTTCTTTCCATAGTAAAAGTCCCAGTTTTTTCCATTGCACGGTTTATGTCAGTGAACTCTGCAACCATTCCATCAACCTAACAGGAGTATAAGGATTTGAGAACAGGCCTGATGAGTCAAAAACTTTCAGAATTAAAATATAACAATCAAGGATGACACAAACCTGACGGACATAGTAATCAAGCGCAATACTTTGACCAAGCACACTACCTATGGTACGAATACCATCAATATTCAAGTACTGCAGCATTATGCGATCAAGACCAGCTTGCATCCATGTACTTAGAGTTGGTTTTTCTCTTACTTCATATTCTAGATAGTAAAAGGAAAATGAGTCAGCAAGCCAATATTGCTCCCCACACCACTGTAACAAACCATAAATAAGTATATGTGATTAATTTATTTCACGGTAACCATTAACCATGGTTTTTTTAAAATATTTTTAACCTTTAAATGAAACAAGTCTAAAACTCATTTACTGCTAGTCTAGTCATGTTTTATCATCCTTTTTTAAGCAAAACTTGTTTAATGCATAAACCCCATTTGAGCTAAGCATGTACTAGTTTCATTTTCTGGAAATGTGGTTAGGTAGGCTGTGCAAGTGATTTATGGATATTTGGGTAAACAAGATCATATTCATCCATAGTATACCTGTGTAAAAAAAGTGAAATAAAAAAAAAAAGAACAAGAAAGCAGTATTTTCTATAAGTCAGAATTGCTAATTTAATTTTTTTTAAAATTATTTGAAAGATTTTTGGTAATTTCATTTTCAAAATAAAATGAACCATCGGCTTTTATTTACAATAAAACTCAATAAGTTAATTAGTTATTAAAAAAAATACATAACCATGGAGTGCACTAGGTACAAACTCATCACACGCATTTCAATCAAACAATAGATATAACTCTAGTTTCTCTGTTCTCAATCTCTTTTTTTTCCCCTACACTTCCTTCCCTGTCTTTTATTATAAATCAGCATGCCTCAAGTCTTCTCTCTACAGAAGCTACGATGGTGTTTAACTCTCTAATCAATCAAAAGCTCTAAGTTTTAGTCCCAATTTCTACTAAAACAATAATATATTATTAAAGGAGATATAAGTTCAAATTAGTCACATTAATGGCCAATACGGGCTACCCAAGTCAAATAAATTTGTAATAAGTTCAAATTAGGGTCAATGAGTTAAAATAAGTTCAGATATATGCTTTGAAAAAATCTAAACCAATATTACTTGGGAGTTGGGATCGTTGATTGTTTACGGGACAAAATATCCCTATGGTATTTACCTTCAGCAAACAAGAAGGTTTAACTAATTATCAAGAAATTTTACGCGCACACAAACATATACATGTAAAAAAAAATGTTGGCCAAAGTAATGCATCAAAGGGTTCTGAACATATGCATACTAGGGCAAAAACTGTGCTATCAACAGTGGATAAAAATAAAAGTGCACAACTATAACAAAATACAGTCCAAAAACTCAAAAGATCAAATTTAAGTTAGTGATACTAACCATCCTTTCTCATTTCAGGAAGCAAGCCAGAGGCATGTCTTTCCACAATTTTCAAGTAGCCGTCAACTTCGTGATCACGAACATTGAACAAGACAATTGAGCCATACTGGAAAACCACCATGTAGCCACAATCACTTCCACTTAAGGTAGCACCCACACCCTAGAATACAGAGCATATGAATTAATATGTTTCACCTCACAACATCCAAACTAGAATATGAAGTATGAACAGTTGGGTAACATATCAAAACAAAGACATTCATATAGCTAGCCAGCTAGGTAATTATTCACCAATTGAGCACGGATGGCACAGTTACCCGTACAGAATATGTAATTAAGAAAATTAATGGCTCCTGTCTGTGAGTTTGTACTTCTAAAAGACCAAGAAAGGTACTTGTTTATGACATAATTAGTTCAACAATTTTACCTGCTTCAAGAGTTTTAATTGCAAGAGTAAATAATTCACTGTTTTTGAAATCTTAGCAGATAATGGACTCAATTGAAATAGCTCAATAAATGTCAGCACTTACTTTAATACAAATAGTATTTACTAATATAGAGAAAATTTGGGTAAAATCCTAAGGGATCTCCCAGGGAAACTTTGAAATAAAAAGAGAGCTTTATGGCAGGGTATATAAGAAGCACGCATTCAAGACCCACTATGGTCCATCAACTATCTCTTAGGCCCCTTAATCCTATATGAGGAATCAGATAATTATAATAAGGAATTACCTTCTGTAAAAGTTTACTAGGTTAGGCAAGTAGACATGAAATTTCAAATAAATTGAGTTAGAACATTTATAACATATCTCTAGAGTGGTAAGTGGCTTTCACAAATTCCTAAATAGCTCAAGTTGTCATGGCATAGGATGCACAAGATTTTCAATTACCTTAGTTTACTCTAGATAAATTCCTTAAAGATGCAACAAGTTGACTTCTACACTACTCAAATACTTTGGCCAAATATATATGGGGGGGAATATGTTATTGCGTAATTGTTGTTGGATTAGTCTGAAAAACCCAGAGACAAGAACTGGGACCGCTTCCGTTTGTGAAGCTACATTATTAACACTACCTCCATTTTATGTTTTGTTCTACTCACTTTGCATTTATGGTTGTTTTCTTTTTTTTCCTACTCACTTTACTTTATTCCATTTTTGGCATATGATCTCTACCATCTTACCCCTCTTACACCAAAACAAATACAAATTTTCACTCTCTCCTACTTTATCTTACACCCAGCCACAAGAAATTAATTTCCACAGCCAAATCAATTTCTTGAGCCAATATATGCTCATCAGAAACATAAACAGGGTATAAAGAAGCAGAGGGTGTAAATGAGGAAAAATTACAAGTCCAAAAGTTTAGAATGCCCAGAAACAGAAAATACTTCACTATAATGTTACTCTCAACCCCACTGCATAGATAAGTTTATAACATCATACCAACCCAGCAGGTCAGGATCCCAGCAGGTACCATCAGCAATGCAGCATTATTATCTCAAGCCAAGGTGAACCATGCCATTCACAAATACAAATAACGTATGGATAGTGCTGTGCGCTCAAGTCCTTCGGTGTTTAGTTCTCTGATTTCTAGCATGAGGTATGGGATTTAAGTGGGTAAAAACCATACCATGTGTTTTTATAAAATAGCTTTAAACCAATTCCCCAAACCCATAACATAAGGTCTATGGGGTTTAGAAACTATTAGGGGTGGTGGCATTGGACCATTACATACATCTAGGTAATAAATCAAGGGTATACTGTTCATTCTTGAGCAATAACAAACAAATGGTGTTATAGATTAAAACCCAACTTCATAACACATGGCTTCATACTTAATTCCAAACCCAAGCCACTCTACTAACCAAACGCCCCCTCACTCCTTCCAGTTGATTTTCTAAACATACAAAATATCCCACAAGATCCATATTCAAGCACAGAATCAAGAATACAAATACAAATCACATACCAAAATGATTGGTGATGAATAATTCCTAAAACCATAAGCACTATAAAAGAGGAACTCATTTTACTAGAGAGACCTAAACTTCTACCATTTTAAATATGCAAGCAGAATTTGAGTGTAGGACAGGGAGAGACATTAGTCTCACTGAAACAATGAAACAAACAAAATGCACTATAACAAAATTAAACTCACATTTGGTTCAGGCTTAAGGTTTCCAAACTTCAAAACAACATAGTTAGTCATCCTTGATGAAGGCGGGATGAAATTATGCTTGTTCAGTTCCACCAAGCTCTTCAAGTCCACACTACAAGGAAGAAAAAAAGCACCAAATTTCAACTGAAGATCAAGCAACTAGCATTAATTTAAAAACCCCAAAAAACGATCAGGCAGTAAGATAAAAGAATGAATGAAATAAATTATATACGAGCCCAAACAGTTGTAAACAAGTTCAAATTGATATCTATTCATCTCAAACCTCGACAAAGTCCAAGAAAACACCAAATATAGCAATATTAATAACAGCAATATGCCAATATCCAGTGCCAGTTTAGACACGTTGTGAAGATTCAAAAAGAAAAACTTAAACCAACAACTCCCTAACCTTTTTTTGTTGCACTTTCTGTTTATATCGATTTCTTTTTTAAGGTTAACGCTTCTACTTTTTTTCTATCTTCACTCTCTTACTTATATTTCACTAACCCAATTTTTCTCACTCTTTGTCGTACATTTCTTACACAAACCCTCTTTGGTTTTTGTTGCTACAATAAACAACAACAAATATAACATTAAAAATAAAATAAACCAAAAAGACTTTGTCCCTAGCTAATAAACTACATTTGATTGGAAGTCATTATTAAAGACAATTCTTATTAAATTCCACAGCTACTCGGTAAACTGTACCATTTACAATATGAAATTTATACCTCCACTATGCCAATATATTATTCTTTTGAACATTTTTTCTTAGGACATCATTGCCATCCTAAATAAGAATCTCAAACTCAACATTCTAGGTTTGAAAGTAGTCTATTGTTAAGATGGTCCCAATTAGAAATGTCATCTATCATTTGGTTACAGAGGAGGTTTAACTTCCGAGAAATGAAACATCGCTCCTACCCCTGGTATCTTGGAAAGGAAGTTCCAATTTCCTCGCCATGTCCACATTTACAATTAAATTATAAATAACGTAAGGAAATGCACTTAACAATCATGTAAAGACTGTAAGAGTTTTAGACTCAAAGAATCACATAGAATCAAATGATCAATCTAAGAAAGAACAATCTACAAACCACTCTACTCATACTGGCAACAATTCTTACAACCAATTTCCTCGCCATGTCCACATTTCCAATAATTGAATTATCAAATGCACTTAACAATCATGTAAGAGTTTCAGACTCAGAGAATTACAATGAATCAAAAGAATAATCAAAGATAGAATAATCTACAAATCACTATAACTCATTCTGGCAGCAATCAAAAGCAAATTGAATTATACCAATCAAACAAAGATTTTAACATCATCTATCTTACTCCCAAGAGTTTTGCAGAAAAATTACTATACCCCAAATTATTGACATTGAAACAAAATCAAATTATACAAGATAATGAAGAAATCTAACATTGAAATAGATGAAAAATTAACCTGGTAGAGAAGAAAAAGGCGCGAACAGGAATAGCAGGGCGAGTATCAACATCACCATTATCATCAGTATCATCGAAAGAAACAGCATCACCAACCTCAGAACACGAAATTGGCTCATTCCACTCAAATTTATTGGTATCCAAAGGCGAAACAGAGGAGTAACAGCGAAAATCCCAGCAAAATAGGAGTAAAGAGGAAGAGGGTTTTGGGGGAATTAGGGTTTTGGAGGGAGAGAAATTCGAAGGAGGAGAGAGAAAGAGAGACAAGGAAGAGAAGGTTGTGAGAGTGCGAGTAGAAGAGGAGGAGGCAGCGGCGAAGATGGCGGAAGGAGAGGGTTTAGGAGGAGAGAGAAAGATGGATTTGAGGTGGGTGTCGAGGGAGCGAGTTGCAGGTCGCCATAGTTTCTCCATTGATGAAGAAGAAGAGGAAGAAGGAATGGAGGAGAGAGAAAGAGAGAGAATTCTGGTGGTGATAATGGTTGCGAGTGACGGAGTGAGTGTACTGGCATGCGCCGTAGGGGTGTTCACGGTCCACCTAAAACCAAAACGCACCACATGAAACCTAAACCGCGCAGTAAAATACAATTTGGCGCGATATGGTGCAGTTTGCGGTTTAATTGCAAACCTAATTATTCATTCAAGGATCATTTTTTTAATATATCTAGTACTCCCTCTATTCAATTCGCATTTGTGCGGTTTTCAATGAACATCTCTGACCATGAATTTTTTGGGTATATATAAGTGAAAATTATTAAAAGTTGATATTTGGAAAATTTATAATGAGGGAAATTTAATAAGATTACACATGCTAATTTATTTCTATTGTATAAGTCATAAACTGTGATCAAAGTTAAGGTATTTTATTTTGACCACATGAATGGTAATTGGTAAGTGAGTCGAACTTTCAGATATGAGGGTAGTATATGCGTACATACGGCCTACTAGGAGTCGGCAAGTGGATGGATTGGCGTGTAATAAACATCAATCAAGTCGTAACCATATTCTAAAGCTTTTGGCGCGTTATTTACCCTAGATGTAACCCCGCAAGTTTCAAGAAATCACAAAAAACAATTAGGGTGTTGGTCAGTGAGCATATTTGGGAAAATTAGTTGATTTGAGCCATTTTTGCTGATTGACTAATACAAATATAATAAGCTTATTAGATGTTTGCCTGTTTGGTAATTGTTTCGGGGTTTTCTGATGTCCTGCGGGAGAGTTACAATTCCGAGACTGGAACCGGACGCCTGTACCTGCAAAACAACGGAGACTCCTGGTGGTGGGAGCTCCGCCTCCAACGATCAAGTTAGTACTTGTTTGAGGAGTAATAAATGCGGAAATTAAAGTGATTGGGTCTCTCTAGGTGAGAGTGTTTAATGTGTAATCTGCGTTTTTTTGCGTGTCTTTTTTCTCTTAATGAGGATTAAGGGAGGTATTTATAACCTTGGGAAACGTGTCAATCCTAGGTTTAGGTTAACCTAGGGCTGATTGGGCTTCCCTCGGAAGTTGGGCCTGGGTGGCCGGTTTCTCCATTAGGCATGGAGTATGCCACGTGTCATGATATAATAGGTCCAAGGTGGACGAATAAGCGTGTGCCACGTGGCAAGCCCTGACAATTCCAACTGGGGGACACTTGGCAGGACCTGATTGGCCCACGTGGCGCATTCCGATTGGTGGGAGCAAAATCCCCTAATCAGTAATCAAGTAACTTGAAGGGTTTATTCCACCCAATAAAGCTTTGTTTCCAATAAGCTGAATGGTTGAGCTTTTTCATTAGCTAATTCAAGTAATTAAAGGTAAAATAATAATTATACCATCATTTAACAACATATCTATCTTTTTTACAATAACTAATCCTTCACAATAAGATATGTCAATGTCTTGATTGGTCATTTTGCATGCTCAAACATTTTTAAACAATCAGTATTATTTACTAAATTCGTTTCAAATCAGTTAATATACTCTGCTTTTCCAAATCAGTTAACACGATCAACTTACACTATTCACTAACACGGCCAACAACTTTAAATTTTCCGGTATATTATATGACAATTATTAATTTATAACGTAATAATTATTTATATAATTAAGGAGTATATAACGTTTGTATAATGATATAATATTGCAAGCAGGTTATTTTTAAGCCTTTATACAAGTATGTTTTTTTTTATAAAACTAAGGGTCCGTTTGGCATCGCTGTGGTTTTCTGTTTTTGGTTTTTTTTTGCTTTTCTAAATCATATGATAAATGTCGTATGATTAATTAAAAATTAGTCAAACTTATTAAAATCATGATAATTTTAAAAACTAACATCTGAAAAGTGGTAACACCTTTTTCTTGTTTTCTATTTTTGGTTTTTGTTTTTGAAAAAACATAAAACAAAAAACGATTCTGAACAAGCCCTAAATTATAAATGTGAGTTTATAATTGTGATACGGTTTGGTTTAAGTTTTTTTAAAACCGCATCAAAATCGCAAACAACAATATTGCCAAAATTCCAAACTGCACTGCAATTTGAAACTGCAAATCGCAAAAAAAAACGGTTTAATGTGCGAGTTGTTGTGATCTAGACCGCACTCTAAACAACTCACCCATGCGGTTTCAAACCACCATCTTGATAAACAAAATGGGCGCAACTCCCTCTTTGTACACAAACCCACAAAAATCATATGGAGTACTCTGTGAGACTGTGACTAAACAAGGGTGTGCCTCCCTCTTAGTACACATCTTAAGTTTTTCTTTGTCCTGAGTTAATACTTTAACCTTCATCTTTTCCAAAGCCTATGTCAAAGTGAAGCTTTTATAGACACATAAATAATGTCTCCAAAATTTAATGTCCAAAATTGAAATATACGAGTTGCTTAATTAATCTGAGCTAGAGATCAAGTTATAGAAAAATCTTTTAGCTCAATATCCTAGCCTTATTCCCTTTAGAATAGCCTGGCCCATATATATACCTAAATCTTAGCCCAATTTGTTTAATTGTTTTTATCTTATCCTTATCCATAATTGTTTAAGCCCACTCATTAATAAGTTGGCCCAAAATCTATCACAACAACACGTGTCTATTCCGGTTGGATATTCCTTTGTTCTCTATTTCAGCACTATGTTCTGCTTGTTCTAGGGTTTTTGCGGGGATATATTCGGTGATTATACGGTGTCGTGTGTTGGTATTGTGGGTATTAAATGTTTGGGGTAAAAATACCCCTGATAAATGAACCTATGCTAATGCAACACGTGTCCCTAAGCTCAGCGCTCAATGAGCCAATTAGAGCATGACACGTGTCATTTAAAGGGGAAAACAGGCTTTAAGCCTATAACCCTAGAAGCCGTAAAACGGTGGAAGCCCATCAAATTAGGTTAAATAACCTAAGAGGCACCTGTCCCAAAGACTCTATAAATACTGATCATTTACATCAGTTGAGGGGGGATTCATATTGAATACACATTCAATCCACACAAATCAGAGAGTGAAACACTCATATATTGAGGTTGTCTCAGACAGCCGGAAGATCACTCCTCTCCTAAGAAGAGCCTGATCACATTTACATTTCGCACTTTACTCCTCATACACGTTTTAACTTGATCGTCGGAGGCGGAACTCCCACCCCCGGGAGTCTCTGTTGTTTTGTAGGTACAGGCAGCCGAAGGTCAGTCTTAGTGTTGTAACTCTCCTGCAGGACACTCAAAAAACTCCAAAACATCTAGCGCCGTCTGTGGGGAGAGTACTACTAAGATGGCTTCACGGCAGTCTGTACCCAGACATCTTTCAGACTACCTCAATGAGGTATTCGCAATCTAACAGAGAGGGTCAATCAGGCGGCTTGTCCGTCAAACACTGACCCTCAGATAGTCCATTCGGCTCCGTATGCGCCTCAGCAGCCATACATGCCGTATAGACAACTATGCTTGCAGCCAGCCCCTTTTCAGGGGTCAGGCGGCAAAAATGTCCATTAGGACTAGCAGCTCCGTCTGCTTAAGATTGGAAAAATAGCCTTCTGTGTTCTGCGTGAGAGCAGGGGCTGCTTAATACACAGTCGTCCACGAGCTCCCTTGTAAGCATACCATACAGTCGGCATAATCACACATGAAAGAGTCGGCACCTTTCTATGCCAAAGCTTGAATATTAGTAACAAGCGGCATTATGGAGGGATCCATGATCTGGTTGCTTCTTATCTTAAGAGCACCCAAGGGGCACCTTCCTTAGCTCTTAATCTAGCAGGTGGCTGTGATTCCAGACGGTATTTGGTAGAAGCAGCCGGCACAGTCCCAACCACAAGTAATACAGCCGGGTTTACTTGATAAGCTGTGGTCCGAATGCCTGGCTTTTAGCTGGCCGGATGCCTGGTGGTTGGAGTTGGCCGCCTGTTGTGTTCAAACTGTTAGATATTTAGAGTGTTATGGTTGCGCGCTCGCGAACCATGAAGTGCGCCCGCGCAAGGTAGGCGCGGCCGCGTAGAGAGCGCGCTTAAACCGCATACCTCTCTAGAAAATCTGGTTGATTTAGGTGGCGCGCCCGCGCTCCAGACCGCGCTTAAAACCGCAAACCATTCTGGAAAAAGTTGGAAATTTGGCAAAACGGGGAGGAGCGGCCGCGCACGAAGGTGGCGCACCCGCGCCGGAGGGTGGTGCGCCCGCGCTTCTGTGGTGGAGCACCTGCGCCTCTTCGTGCGCGCCCGCGCCTCCTTCCTCGTCTACGGTTTTGCGGTTATTTCCTTTATATTTTGTTGGGGCCTTTGTTTTTAGAGACACAAAAAATTATCTTCCTCCCTGAAATTCTTCCCTCTCTACACCATTATTGAAGAAACTTGCAATCTCTTCATTAATCCTCTATCATTTTAAGTTAATTAATTGAGAATTTGATCATCTTTCTACACATTTAAGTGCTAAAAGTGTAAAGTTCGTCTATTGTATCTCAAAGCGTATTTCTAGTTCAACCCAAGCATCGTTGTGGGGGAAATTAACGCTTTAGGAAAGTGTTCTCACGCCTTAGACGAGTATCAAGTATCGAAGACTCACGTGGTCCATGGTATTCTCGTGTTCTTGGATGTTCATTTAGCTTGGAGTGAGGCAAGTATAGTTTTTCATACTTGTAGTTTAGTTTGTTTCTCTGTAATTTTTACTTTCTAAACTTGTTGGTGTTTGGTTGTTGGTGTAATTGATATTATATTACATTGTAATTTCATATTTCCCAAATTCTAGGGTTAGAATTTGTTCTTTATTAGCATTATTCCTAACACAAACGCCCAAGCAATGTGTTGAGATCAACACCTAAACGATGTGGCTTCTGGGGTCATGCGTTTGGGACAGCCGGCACATAAGGTCAGCTGGCACTTGAAATGACTTATAATCATCCGGCCAATTTGAATGTGAGCAGAGCCGTGAGTGGTCCGGCTGTGGGTGTATGTATCAACGGCATGCGCAGCTAAGCAACAAGGCATCCGACATTATCATCCTCGAGTAAGACACAAGTATGCCTTACAAGAGCAGCCTGCAAGCCTCCATTTCCACATATACAAGCAGGCAACCTCTTTCCATAAGCTTAGCCAAGTGTCATGTATATAAGCACATGTCAGGCGGCCTGGGCTCTTGCGTCTACTCGA